GGCCAAAGGTTTTTAACCTGAGAGCATCCTAGCCCAGGACTTTGGGAAGGCAAGGACCCAGGTCTGTGCACTGCCAGCACAAAGTCAGAGCTGGCCCCAGCAGGGCACGGTGGCAGCTGGGTGACACAGCCCTCTTGGGCTGTCCCCACGGGTGACCGCATCCCACGAATGGCATCCAACATTGGACAAGGAGAACACAGCACCATGCCCACAGGTCCCTCTGCTAGAGCTGAGTCTTGCAGGTGACACTTGTGACACAGGCCAGAGATTTAGTCCCAGATCTGCACCCATCCCAGACCTGCCTCTCAGCTGCCAACCCCCCTTCCCCAGAAGTGTGGCCAAAAATTAAGAAGGTCTGAGCTCAGCCGTTCCTACACCTGGGCACCCACCTCACCCCATCCCTCTGGGTCTCATTTAAGAAACAAATGTGGGTGAAGATCACCTTTCTGCCATGCTGCCTTCCTGCAGAGGCTCCCAGGGCCACCCCCCAAGCACCATCCCCACCTTCCCTGTCTTCTCCATCCCATAAAGGTATTCAGGGCTCTGGTACCTAAATACCCACACAGAGCTGGCCGGTATCGTGGATCCCAGCAGCCACAAAAGCAACTGAGACAGAAAGCAGAGCAAGGAGAAAGGTAGGAGGGGGGCCACGGGGATGGTGCTGTGCATGGTGCACACACGGCATGGATCCGGAACAGCTCCGCTCCGCTGCCACTGCATCCTACCCTCATGGTAATTAAGGGAGCTAAAATAAATAGGGATGGTTTCATCCCTGCAGGGATAATTCCTCCTCCCGGGGTGGCGTGTGCCTGCAGGGCTGCCCCGGAGGTTGGGAATGAGGCAGCCAAAGCCGGCGGGTTGGAAATGGAAATTTCTCAGGAAGGGAGGAAATCGCTTGTTTCTGGGGCGTAACCAGCCCTCGCCCTCCAACAACTTTATTTGACGCTGTCGTGTCCCTAAATAGCTCCTTGAAGCAGCTGCTGGGAGTTTACATCTCCTTCACCTCTGCTCCCCTCCAGTCTCGGGAAATGGGCTCACGCAGCCCCAATTTCCAGAGCAACTCACCCATCATGGGAGGGAACCTCCTGCAGCCGCTGCAGGGACCCGGCAGCACTGCTGCCTGCCCCACCACAGCCCTCTGGCTATGGGCAATATTTCAGGGATTGCAGAGCCATGGGAAGTTTGGGTCTCTAAGATCAGGAGTGGAAACCACCAAGCCTCTGGTGGGTCTGGAGCCAAGGATGCGCTTGGGGTCCTTTCGGAGAAGGGGTGATGTTGTGCCAGCAGGGAAACGGTTCCCTAGGGGCAGTGGGGCTGGCAATCCTCTCCAGTGACCCCTGAGGTTGGTACCCCAACCTCAACCTGTTCACCAGCCCTGCCCGGGGCTGGGGGCAGATCAGGAGAGAAGAGGAGCACACGAGGCATGAGAAGATGTGCCCGGGAGAGCAAGTGGCGAGGGGAGAGTACACGCAGGGGCCGATGCTTGTGCTCAGCCAAAGTGCTGAAGTCAGCACTCTCCGGAGCCATCTGTTCCCAGCGAAGCCCCGGCACAGACGGACTCGCCCAGGCTCCCAGCAGCGGATGCCGCAATTTGGTGATTCATGCACGAGGGGCCGGGGATGGTGTAAAGCCGGACACCGCCCCTACGGCCATGCAAACTCCGGGGATGCGGCTGGAAAATTATATATTAACCACACTGCTGAAAAGCTTTTTCAACTATTTTTCTGGTCATGTGAGCTGGCTTTTAAATGGCAGCACAGCTCTTCACTGCCGGGCCAGAGACCTGACTCAAGCTGGTTTTTCCCTTATTCCAGAGCACAGGTAACCTCCTGCTTCACAGGCTCTAAATGCTCATTTGAAAAGGCCAAGTTCAGCAAGCAGCTCATTAGCAGAGCCAGCAAGAGCCTCTGCACTTGTCTCCCGGGTGTAATTGCCAAATGCAGCATCAACAGGAGCTTCTGGGGTGTCTCAGACCTGTTTCTTCCCTGGATTACTCCAAGGTGCCTGGCAGCCCATGGAAGGCAGGAGCCCCAGGGCAGAGCAGAGCTAGCCTGCACAGCGCTGCAGACCGGGGAAACTAAGGCAGAGCAGCGCAAAGCAGCAGTGGGAGGTTGCAAAGACCCAACTGAACAACACTTACCGTGCAACCACCCCACACCGTGATGGGCTCTCTCTGCTCCGTACCCAGCCTGGCTGCCACTCAGAACAGCACACAAGGCACCATGGAAAGCGCGGCGTGAGGAGCTGCGGGAGGGGAACTGCGCAGCCTTGCCCGGCCGGTCTCAAGGCCATCCCTCACCAGATGCTGATCTCCACCAGCTTTGTGCAGTTTCATTAAAGCTAAGCTGAGCCATAACTCATCGGAGCAGGGAAGTCCACATTAAGAGCTAGCAGCAACAACTTCAGCTTTTCAGGCTTCCTTCCAAGAGCAGACAGGTGTCACTCAGCATCTCCTTCCCAGTTCCTTACCCGCTGTGGGAAATGGCTTTGGAGCTGCTCCTCCAGCTTCTCGGGATAGTGAAGGGCAAGGGGGTGGCTGCCCAGCGAGGCAGCCCCCTTGCCCAGCAGACCACCGTGGTGGGGACATACCTGGAGCAAACACCCCACAAGGTTAATGGTGCCTAAAAGCAGCACGCAAATGTGAACAGGAGCCTGTGAGGGCCCCTGAGCCTGCTCAGAGCCCAGGCAGGCAGCTGGGGCTTTGCGGGTGGCCAGACAGCCGGGTCACCCCCCCGCAGGCCCGGGGGTGCCGGGTCACCCCTCCATCCCCGCTCAGCCCCTCTCTGCTCCCCGTTACCGGCCTCCCAGCGCCACCTAACGACACGGCGACCGGGATAAGGACCTTCATGGGGAAGCCAGACACATCCCGGTCCCCAGAGAGAAGGATGGAGAGCACCGACAGCGAAGGACAGGCAGGAGGCAGCAGGACACCCAGCTGGGGCTTGGGGATGCAGGCAGCAGAGGAATGGGGAGCTGGAGGTACATGATCGTAATGATCCTTCCTCTGCCCATGAGGCTCAGTCCTCCATCCCTGCCCTTCGCTGACCTTGATCATCCCATGGCTTTCCTGCAGCCCAGCATTAACCCCAGGGCCTTGGCCAAGTTCTGGGTTCAGCAAGGACACTGGGCTCCGCAAAGAAAGACGCGTCCCTTAATATGTTGTCACAGCCCAAAAACTACCCTGAAGCATCACCAGTTTGGGAACAGCCCTTTGCCGTGCTCAGCGCAAGCACGGTGGCCCCTATCATGGCTACAAAAGCACCTCGACATCAACATTCAAGGCAACGTGGAAGAAAACCTGGGGGGAGAGCCAGCTCATCTTTTCCTGGTACCTGCAGATTTGATGCAGCGGCAACAACCCCTTCACCACCACATTTCTGGCTGGGCTATCTACCAAAACGGCTGCTCGCCACCCTGAGCGCAACCCCCTCGCCTCCACACCCCCCTTTCCAAAACGCTTATTCGCCTCCGAACACAGAGCTGATGTAATCTCCCGCTCAAGAGTTCAGCATTAGGACTGCATCAGCCGCGAGACTTAACGAGAGCCACATCACGCAAGCAGCTGTTCGACAAAAGCTTTATTGCTCGTTTGCGTACGAGCTCCCAGTATCACATTTCCTGAGTTTCTTAATGAGCTTGCAAATGAGATTTAAATAGAAAAGGAAGGGGGAAAAAGGAAAAAAAGAGAGAAGCCACAGATCTTCTTTCCCTAAGGTTGGACCAGAGATGAGGTGGGAGTACAGTGCCCGGTGGGCAAGCCCTCTACCATGGGAGAGGGCTCGGCGGAGATGGAGGTTGAGCGTGAACCTGAGACAAACGCCTGCTGGCTGCCACGGCTCGATTTACCCTCTGCCTCCGTCAGGGAGCCTGATTTGTTTCTAACACACAGCCACCAGCAACTGCCATTGCCACCATTTACACAGGTCAGAGGAGCAGCTGCAACCCTGCAGCACTCCTGCGAGGAGTGCGGGGGGTCAGGGGCAGCATGGGTGGCAGGGCGGCCAGGGGAGGGGGCCATGCTGACGTGGCCCCTGTGCCACGGATAAAGAGGAGATTTGTAATCTGGCTTAAAACCTGACACCGTCGCTGTAGTCAATTTGGGCTAAGAGAAGCATTTAATAAGCCTCAAAACCACAGGCCAAAAAGAAAACCCACCAGTGGATGAAGTGAAAGGGCTCAAGGCGTTGCTTGCACCAGTCAGTGCTGGCAGGTACCAAGGAACACAGGATCCCTCATGATCCGGAACAAGGCAATTACACACTTGTTATCCCAATCCACGGCACGAGCCAGGACCCAGGCTCTGCCAGGGTTCAACTGTGGGAGGCAGAAAGCAAATTAATGCCCTTGTCTGTTTAGAGCTCACAATGAGCGGAGAGCAAACGGTCCCTCCCTGCGTGAGAGGAGCTGCCTTGCCTCGGGACATGTCGCAGGAGATGCGGCGTTCAGCTGGCTACTCCAAGATTAAGGCAGTCACAGACAAAGAAGCCAGACTCAAGCAGCAGGTCTAATTTGGCTTTCCTGGAAGGCTTTATTTAAAAAACAATTATTATTAAAAGAAGCCTGCTCAGGCACAAATGACAAGGCAATGAAGCCATTTGGCTTGAGGCTTGAAGGGGAGGCAGCAAGACACAAGGAAGTTTCTCTATGCAACTTGCCACGGGGTAAGTGCTGGGCCAGGACTCCTGCCAGGCACACATCTCCCCTCACCTGGGCTGGCCAATTTGTTAATGCTCGAAGGACCCAAATGACAAGAATTGCCCCAGGGGCAGCAGCCGGCTGCAGAGATGCAGGGCCAGCCAGCAGCCTCAGACGTTTTGAAACACTAACTTTAGGAACCCAGAGTTCATCGTTACTAGAAAGGCTCAAGTGTCACGCACCTCCCCAGAGAGGCCACTAGCCCTGGGCACAAGCCCAGTGCTGCCGGGCCCTGCCCGTAGCCCACTGGTGTTGCCCCAGGGCCGTACCAGCTGGACCAGTGCCACATTCCCATTGCTGCTGCCTTAGTGACCAATCAACTGCAGCATCTCCTGAGGATCCACTATCTTCTCCCGGGGTTTGCCAGCAGCTTTGCCTCTTGCCACTTCAGCAGCATCTATCTTCTCCCAATCCGAGAAGGAAACAGGACGGACCCCTGGGGTGACAGCGAGAGACGGGAGGGAGAAGTTAACCAAGTAAAAACGAGTTCAGCCTCACCTCCCCGCTAGCAGGGACCTGATGTGCCAGCAAACCCTGCCCTTTTCCGACACAGCGTCAGACTTCAGCCTCACAAAGGAATAATAATTTCTAACACCGTGAGGGGAGGGATGGCAGGTTCCCGTCGACTCGGATCAGTCAGACCTTTGCAAGCCATAACAACGGCAAGCACAGCACCACCTTAGGGGACAAAACACTTCCAGTTCACTGTTAAACCTCAGACAGTTAACACACACTTTAATTAAATGCCTTTAAACACAGCAACAGCAAATTACTCTCTTGGGCATTTTAATCTTTCCCCCAACTTGCCTGGAAGGATTGCTAGGAAAACCACTCAAGAGCAATAGGTCGCTGTCTAGGCAGGTGACAGCAACATTTTACCCAAGGTCCGTGCTGCTTTTAATGGCCCTTCCCAGAAAGTGGTCGTTAACCTTTAGCAATGACACCGAGTTTGAGGGAATTCAAATCCTGCTCTCCCTGGGCTTTGGAGCAATGAAATGGCAGCATGACATGTTTCCTTGGTTTGGACTCCACTCCCAAAAGCGGCTTGCAGGACTCGCTGCCCCAGGATACCCCCATCAGGAGGAGTTTGGCTTCATCGTACCTTCATGTTCACTGCTACAGGAGCTCACCCCACACATACACACTGACCTCGGCTGTGCAGGATGTTCTCCACGGCTCCAAAGCCTTCTCTGGAGGCGGACACGTCCAGCACGCCCACCCGGAGATCCTCCAGCACAGACTGGGCAGTTTCAAAGCTGTCGTTCATGGTGGTGATGATCACGCCTGTGGGTCCTCTCTTCACCCACCCGCTGCAGTACAGACCTGCGTGGGCACACAGAGCAGCCAGGCTGAGTCCAGCACGTGGCTGTGGGCCCTCCTGGCTGCAAGTCCTTGCCCTGTCCCTGGGTGTCACATCAAGCTGCAGGCAGTGGGAGAATCCACCCCTGTGGTGGGGACAGAATATGGCTCTTCAACGGTGCTGTCACAGCAATTTGTGTACCTGCAGATGGGCGCTAAGCAGCCGTGTGGGCTGTATCGCTTTAGTAACAGACTCCCAGGCTCAGGAAAACCACCATAACCTTCAGCGCTGTTTGCTGCAAAACCAGACACCCCTAACACAAGCTGGGGATGGGCCAGGTCTTAACGCCTAACAGAGGTGGTTCGTTTCCTCAGTTCCCACTCTCCGACTGAGGTGTGTGACCACCTTGTTATCAGTGTCCTTGGGGAACAGAGCTTCCCACCCCAAATCCCCCAACCCACCAGCTGCACTCCACCTGTCCCACACATCCCCCTGCGGATACAGACCTGGGACACCCTCCACTCTGCCCGAGCTGTTGGGGATTATGCCACGCTGGGTGTCAAAGGGTACCACTGGGTCCAGGGGCAGGCTCCGGTAGCCAATGCTGCTGAGCACCAGCCCGCACTCCAGCTCCTCCATGTCTCCAGTGGGGACAGCTTTGGCGGAGTCACCCGAGCCCTGAGAGAGGAAGAGGCTGCTGACCACTACAGTCACCAGATGCACAGCAGCAGCCTCCTCTGGTCCCCTTTGGCACCCTTGATCCCATAGTATTTGCCAAAGGCCTTTCTGCAGCAGTAGCAGCATGGAAAGAGCTCCCTTTAGACAGGGAAAGGCTCTTGTTGGTTGTACTGGCTCCCCTGAGAGCCTGCCAGCGGCCGCTCCAACCAGCCAGGGAACACAAAGCTGTCTTTGGAGAGATTCCCAGGGGCTGCAGGGATGCAGCAGTGTCCCACTCCATCCCTGCAGCCCTGCTAGGGCCATACCAGCCCCAGCACGAGCCCGTACCTCCAGGCGCGTCAGGGCCATGCGGATGCCCCTCGCCCGCCTCCCGTCAGCGGTGGGCAGCACCTCCTGGGGGCTGCGCTGGAACTTCAGGCCCCATTCCCGGGGGGCTGCTGCCTGCGCCACCACTTCCTGCACCTCCATCGTCTTCTCCCCAGGCTTCTCTAGGGCTGTTTTGATCATCAGCTCAGTCAGTCGCTTCCTGGGCCTGGGGGCATCTAGGAAGAAAGAGAGAGCTTCAGGACAGGAACCTCAGCAAAAGCCCCCTGGGACATGGCACAGAGCCGAGGTCACCTCAAGGCGGTTTCAGTGGTATACAATGTCCATTTGAAGTTTGTCATGCTGATGGGAGTATGATGCCTTTGAGATGACAAACTACAAGTCAAAGGAGAGCTCCTGAGGCTTGAGGCCAGTGGGACACACAAATCAAAGCCTGCATTTTTCTGTCTTGCTGGTGCTCAGAGGCAGCAGCCTGTGCAAAAGAGCAAGTCTCTTGACACCCTTGAACTCAGTGTTTTCTTTTTAGCTCCGCAGGAAGTTCTTAAATCAGCAGCCTTGGGATCTCTCCTGCAAGGTTCCCCCAGCCCTCCCGAACGTCCTGCCCTCATCACTCAGAGAGTAAGCATCACTCCCAAGCAGCAAAGTGGTTGCATAAACAGAGAAACAGGCTGTTCCCTTGTCTTTGTGGCCTCCTAGCACTCTGAGGACAAGTCACACCATGGTCATCTGGCTTTCACACGCCATGCATTAAGCACAGGGCAAAGAGTTTCTCTGATGCACATTCTGAGCATCTCCAGATCACTCCTGGATGCTCGCCTGTCAAGGTGAGTCCCTGTCTGGAGGAGCATGGCACGTTTCCCTCACCTTTAATAGCGTTTTCGAGGCCTGTGAAGTCAGCAGGGTTCAGGACAGGTCTGGCACCAGGCAGGTTTACCATCTCCCGCAGCTCCTGGGAATTGCAGGCAGGAAGATGTTACTTCCAGCACAGAGAGACTGTCCAACAGTCCCATGCCCTCTTTCCCCAAGCAGTCCAGGCTAGAAGCCAGCAAACAGGTGCAGGAAGGAGGACACCTAGGTTCCCCACCCCTCCCCACCAGGGACAGGCAGCCTGGGGCTAAACGCTGGGAAACACGGCTGCCCTCCAGCACCCCAGCCTTACCTTGATAGTGAAAGCAACTTGGAGAGGTCCCCTCCTCCCAACCAGCCAGACACGCTTCACCTTGCTGGAGGCGAGAGCTGCCAGGGAGCCATCGGTGATGTCTGTCTTCTGCAAGAGAGAGAGAGGAGGGTGGGATGAGGGCAGATCTGGAGGGAGCTGGGGGGAAGGCACAGCTTCTGAAGGTGAAAAATCAACAGAAAAGCAGGCTGTGCATACAGAGAGCCTGGGCAAGGATGGAAAACAAGTCACCTCCCTTTGCACAGAGCTATTTGCACAGCTGGTCCCTCATCACTGAATGTACTTTCCGAGGCCATAACGCACTAGAGGTAACGAGCCAGCACCCCGTGAGATTGCCTCGGGGGATCCACCCACGTAGGTTAACCTTGGGGCAAATGGAGCAAAGCCTTCCAGTGATCTCGATTTTGGGGTACCTGCAGATGCTGTTGGGTGACTTCCCAGCTCAGGATATACAAGCATTTGGGTGAAACTCACTGCAAACGACATCTCAAATCACTGCCTGCCCGCCCCAGGCAGCTCCAAGCACAAACAACCATCGCCACGGCTCCACTGATGGTTGGCATCTTGCAGCAACCCCACCCTCTGTTTCAATTGTGTGCATGTATCTAGATCACAAGATGGTCTTTTCCAGAGAAGATACAATGGCAGGGACACCAGGTAACCAGGATAAACCATTCCAGACCAATATTCTTAACAGGAAACTGCCTGTACACTCTGGCACTCATTTCCAGTGCAGTGTCCTTCGCAGCACTGCTCCCACAGCTGGGTTTAGCCACTGGTTGGCAGTGCCTCCAAGGTGGTTTTTTTGTGTATTTAATTTAGATATTAATACAGGAAGTTGTTGCACAGCTGTAACAAACCTTGTGGCATTTCTCCAGGGGGGAGAGCCTTTGTTGCCAACATCTGGGGCAGCAGCTGTATGGAGCAGCTGGTGCATACCAGCTCCCAGCTGTCTATAGGGGAGCGCAGCAGTGGAAGAGGTCCACCAGCTTGGACCAGCCACCAGTATGGCCAGTACTACCAGCAGGAACCAGGCTGCTGCCCTCAGCCACAGCAGAAAAAAAAAAATCCCAACAGGATAAGTTTCTAGTTTGGTGGTGGAAAAGGCTGACAAGCTTCTCCTTTGCTTCTCATAGGAAAGGAAGGGATAAAGTTCAATTGCCAACCTTTTAGGTACGAGCAGAGCAATCCAGAGAGTTCTGCAGCATTACCCAAGGCACAGCCTCAGCCTTGGATCACACCCTATGGACTGTGAGCCCATAGGGTGCACCCAAGGGGCAACAGGCTTCCTTGGTGAAAGTGCCCAAAGACAGGAGAGTCTGAGGTTTTGCTGAGATGGGTGGGAACAAGCACCCACCCAGCAAGGAGATAATTTGGGCCCCACGCTGCCTTCACAGTGCGGGGCACCCCCGTGGCTCACCCTGAGGAGACGCAGTGGGGACAGGAGGATCCGGGCAATATCCAGCGCCACATTGCCGTGACCCAGAATCAGCGCTGTCTCACAGCTCAGGTCGGGCTTCAGCTGCAGAGAGAGAAAGACCCAGCCATGAGCAAATCCACCTGGCATCCATGATGTGCAACCCCTCAGACCTGGTCCCACCACCCAAATTCCCTTCCACCCCTCTTTCCCCCAAAAAGAGGTGATGCGGATGGGGAAACTCCACACCAGCCTCCTCTGCAAGCAGACACAGCAACACAGACACTCTGGGCACCCCAGCAGACCCGTCTCCCCCTCTTCCCCTCTTCCTGTGATGGCATCTCTGGGAGCAGGAGCTGTTTTGGCCAAAAAACCTCCTCAGGCCAGAGCAGAGCATCACCCCCTCCAGGTTCCCATCTGGTCCAGCCAAAACATGCTGCCAACCTACAGAGCCAGCTAATCCGCTCTCACTGATGTGCAAATTGTTCACATTTCTACTATCTAAGAAGGATTTAACATGGTGCCTGCTAATCTTTTCCAATTGCGAGCCTTTCAGGACTTAATCTGGAGCTGAATGCCTGCGTTAGGATGCAGGACAAGGAGGAAGGGCAGAGAAACGCACTGCTGTACTCACATCCCGGTTCTCAGGCAGCCCATTGTACCAGCCCACAAATGCTCGGGCTGAATAAACACCAGAGAGGTTCTCCCCTGGGATCCCCAGCACCCGGTTATCTTCAGCACCGTAACTCTGAGGAGGGAGCAGACACAGTCAGAGATGTCACCGTGTGCAGGGCTTGATACCAAAACACAAATCTCCCCTTCCAGCTGCTGCCAGGGACCCTGCACGGCTGCCAACCCTTCCCGAGGGCCAGGATACTCAATGGAGGGGCTAAACACAGCCTGAGCACAGGGGCTCCATCCACCCCACCCCCCTGGCTTCCAGAGCCAAACTTGACCTCCTTGGGCCAAGGCAGAGCACAACAAACCGAGGACTGAACAGGAGGGACAAATCCATGTCAGGCTGAAACAGGCGTTGGCCATCACAGGGAAGAGGTTCCTCAACCACTGCCCCTTGCAGCAGGGTTTCAGACACCTGCATTTGATTTCATGCTTGAGCACATGCTCTCTGCAAGGCTTTGGACAAGCCTCATCGCGTCTGAGCTGTCCTGAGACTGGGGAGAGTTTACCATGGTAATAAGGCACCCAGAAACACTTCCCCCAAACCCTCTTCCTGAGATCCCAGTGGGGAATAACCCTGCAGACCTTCCCTGAGACTTCTGGGGAGCTAAGGCAGCCCTGGCTCTGAGGCGCGGTACCCACCAGCACGACGGCGTGGTAAGCCTGCCGCAGCTCTGCCACCGTGACGTCCCTCCCCACGGTGACGTTTCCGTAGTAGGTGCAGCGCTCTGAGCGTGCTGTCTGCGTGAAGGCATTGATCACATTCTGCCGAGATCAAAGAAGCGCCGGGGAGTTACGTCCAAGCCACAGCCAAGGCCAAGGTCTGCTGCTGACAGGAGGTCCCCGTTCCTGTCCCCACCAGCCTTGAGATGCTTCTCCCCCTCCCCGAGTCAGTTATTCTGAGACTCTTATCTAACAACAGCCACAGATAATTCACAGGGAGATAAGCACAGCTGTGACTTGGCAATCTTTCCACCACCCTTTGTGGAAAGGAAAAATCCATCTTTTGCACCTGCCTGAGGAGGACAGGAGCCTTTCAGTACCTTCAGCCCCTCTGAGTAAACCCCCTTGTAGGAGAAAACTTCCCCAAGGTGAGGCTTGCAAGGGAGTCCCACCAAACAACCCCTTCCATCGAGGGTGCTGCCTGCCAGACCCCCTCTGCCAGCCTCTCATCTCAACCCTTCCTGAAACCCAGTTCATCAATAGAGGACGCAGGGCAGGATGGCACCCAAAGCCTTTTCTTCTGAGTGATCAGGGCTACACAGGAAAACAACCACTTCTACCCCTGCAGCTTCAGCCGGACTCAGCCTGGTAACAGGACACATACCACCGTACTGCGGAAGCTGCCCCAAACCCACATCTGTTACGTCCACTCCTCATCTCTCAGCTCAAAGGGATCCAGGCATTTTAGTCTGACGATCTCCAGGGATTAGAGGAAACCATCACAAGATATTGCTGTGTCTGGATCTCCTGCGTCCTACCACTCCAATCACCTCCAGCCCAGCTCAGACACAGCAGATACCCCTGAGTACAACTCATGCCCACTGCGAGGCAAAGGAAAATGGTTGATTTCAAAGAGCTCCTTGGCTTAACTTCTCTTTGCCCAGGTGTGCACCTACAGCCCAACTCCATCACCCCTAACAGCAGATCTGTGTGTTCCCAGGCACCCAGAATGGGTACGGACTGAGCAGAGGCAAACAGCAACTGCAGCAAGTGGGCAAGACCCTGCCGGCATAAAGTTTCCTGGTACAAAGAAACCCATCTGCACTCCTCAGTCTTGCTCTAGGCCAGGCTGACCAGCACTGGGAGCAGCACTTCCCATCACAAGCCCCTGTTTTTGACCCACTGTCCAGAACCCTAATGCCAGATATCCCATATCACCTGGCTGTGTCCTTGCTGGGCCTCAGCATGGACAAGGAGGAGATTTAGACCTCTCCAGTGTAACAGCTCCACACCCCAGTGAGCCCTGAGGCACCACAAAGGACGGCAACTGCCTGGCCTGCACTCATCACCATCACTGTGTTCAACTGCAAGGGTGAGGGGCCAAGCCAGCACTAACCTTCACTTCGGGGTGGTCTGGGGCCACCCCAAAACGGACAAGCCCAAAGGGAACAGGCAGCTTCTCATAGATGTCCACTTGGGCCCCACCATGGTGCTGCAGGAGAAGGAAGTCACAGTTAAGGGATGAGGACGAAAAGGCCACATGAGCCCAGCAGCTCAGGAGGGACATGCATGGCTTGCCTGCTGCTGAGGGAAACACATGGCAAGAGTGAGAGTTGCACCAAGATCCTGAAGTCAGAAACAGCCTCTTCCAGGCTCTTCCATGCACAGGATGATGCTCAGATCGCAAGGTATAGCAGAGAATGTGACCCAAACCATCATCAAGTACATCTCATGGGGGGCTCCATCCTCCTACCCACCCCACAGCCCCTCTTCCACACTAACCTGGTGGCTATCCAGTACCCAGGGGGCTGACAAAAGGGCCCCCACACTGGCTGGGAAGCACCCACCACAGCACCCTGGGCGCTGGTGGACCCCCCGGGCCATCTGCCAGCCCCTGGCAGAGAAGCCCATGCCCTGAGATCCCCCTGAGCTGAGTCACTTCAGGGTCAGAGCTTTAGACAGATGTTTTGCTGCAAGGCTTTTGTTATCTTGTATTTTGAGTCAGCCTCTTCCCAGAGATTAAGCAGCCCTGAAATTTGTCCCTGAGGCTTAGTAACAGCTATTTTCCAACACGTACTGGAGACAACACAGCACAGTTTAATGACAGGGTTAAGCTGCTGCATCTCTGCTCTGGGTTTTGTGCTCGGGTCTCGTTTTCCGACAGAGACGTGACCACCCAAAGCACTAACGTTTACAGACACCAGGCAAAGGATCACCCCTGCCCCCAGTTCAACTGGGGGAGGAAGAGGCAGGAGAGCAGGTCCTCCGCGTTCCCTTTAATGCACGGTTAACGTCACCTCTGTTGGGTGACAAGAGCTCCAAGTGAGGCAGATCTCTGCCGCTTATTTGATTCTAGAAAAATCACTTGGGCTGAACTCGCAGCAACCCAGCCAGGCCTGGGTCCGGCCTGGATGGCGCAGGGGCAGGGCAAGGGATGTAGGCAGCAGTGCCCGCCCCAGGTGAAGGGGGCCAGGAGGACTCTGGGGGGTCCAGGCTGCCCCAAGCAGCTGCCCAACAACACAGACCTGGCTGGAGCAGGGCCAGGAGCCCACAAAACCACTCCCCAACCCCCTTAGAGCCAAGCAGCACGGAGATGCCACCCTCAGCAGGCAGGTCCCTGCCCTTACCCGCGGCCGAATCCCACCCCGGTACCTTGAGGATGTGCTGAGCCGTGTAAAACCCCGCGGGCCCGCTGCCCACCACGCAGACACGAGGAGCCGGGGCGGGCGAGGACAGCCACCGC